ACTCTTTTCTGCAAGATGAACTGGGGACCAGCCTTGCTACCACTGCTGCTGTAAGGATTAGAGAGCATGAGGCATTGAAAAACAACATTTTAGAGCTGAAAAAAATCCAGAGATTATAATCTAATTCAAATATTGAGTCCTACATCTAAAGGTGGCTTTAAGGATTAGTTAACTCAACCATTTGGTTCAGAGCGGGGAAAAGAGAGGCCCCGGCAGGACATTTGTGGCAGAGCTGAGAGAGTGGTCAGAATTGATGTATCCTCAGCCAATAAATGGTCAAATGAAGTTGGCAGACACACAAAATCCTCTGGGAAAGTCTGAGGAGGAAAACCAAACATGTCCTTTTGATGTGTGGAAGTATTCTGATCTTGAGTCAACATTACAAATTGCATAATTTTTATGAGTAACTGCCATGCACTACTCTTGTGATTTTTCTTATTGGAAAAGTGTGCTGCACGCTAATTTGTGGAAGTTTTATTTGCTCACGACCTTATATTCTATTGACATGTTTCTAATTGACATGTTTCTAATTGACATGTTCCTGATCATACAATGTGGTCACTTGCTCAGAAATTACAAAATTAATGGAAACATCCATATATATATAAATGTATTATATATTATATATATATATGTAATATATATATATATATTAAAACTCTAAATCTTAAACTAAGGCATAAAGTAATGGAGAAGATTTTTTAAAATAATTGAATAATTTAATCTTTGACATTCAACAAAGTCTCATAAAGCACTTAATTCAAAGGAATATTGTACAAAATAGAATGTCTTGAATTCCATTTTTAATTCCCTAGAAGTTAAATTTAGATAAATTTTATTCTTAGTGGAGTTTCTTTCAAGAATGAAGTTCTTTCACTTACTCTAATGAAGGTCACAGTCAATTCTCTTTCTAAAGTTCAGCCATTCCTTCATCATTTTGACAACATGAATGGAATATCACAAGCTACAGAGTTCAACTGTTTTATAGACTTTCTTTGCAATTGGAATACAAGACAAATAAGAGTAGACATAAAAAGGGTCATTTGATTTTGAGAGTTTTACTGCCATAGTTACAGATTGGCATACATAAGGATAAAGGTACTGGGCCTCACATTACTAGCTCTGGTGTATATTTTGTTTTGGCTCCTTAAGAGACTAGGATGTGACAGGGGAGAAATATACATTTTCAAGTTATTTTTTTCCTTGGAAAAATATATCTTATATCTAGGATCTAGGATCACACTGCTGAAACAGGGCAATATATCAATGCGGTGGTGTAACTGGGCAGCGTTTCGGCGTTTCAAGCCCAGGATTGGGGTAGTCTGATCATTTATTTACATTCTATCCACGTCTCCAAGTATTTCCCCATGAAGTTTTCATTTTTAATTTTTTGAGACTAAAATAGATATAGCCAGTTAATTATTTAACCTATTTTTCTTCATTTAACATATGCACAGATGACTTTAAATATTATTTTCCTGTAGTTGTAATCCTAATAATTAGCTATTGTTATTACATAGTCAGCTAAATGGTAAATATCGCAGGCAATGTGCAGAGTCCAAATGTGACTAATCCGATAATTCTATATTATTTTTATCCTTGTATTTTAAAATAATTTCACATAAAATGTTAAAAGTATACTTTACACATTTATTATTTAATGACCCACACTGCTGTGTCTTAGTCTACTGTTATTATGCCAGCAAACCTCCCAGAGTATATTCTGTGTAATTGAAGGCCCACAGCACACTTTCTGAAGCTATCAGAACTGTCAAAAAGTGAGTCTTTTCAGGGTGAAGAAAATGACAATAAGGAGAATTAGCAGCTTTAACTAAAACTCCCGTTTAGTTGAGGAATGTGCATAAGAAAGTTTTAGAATTCATGTTTTTTAATGCTCATAATCGGCATGAGTAAAAAAAATACTAAAATGGTTCATCTTTAGGTAAAATTTCTCATGGGAAAAATACACATTCAGCAGAAAATCCAAAATTATATCATCTATGTCCTTTACAATCCTTGTAATTCAAATGTAAACTGTATCTCTTCTCTGATTTTAATGGTCTTTGTTTTTGCTTCATTACTTTGTGATTGTGAACTGCGTAGCATCAGTTTAATAGCAGTTTTAAAATGATAAAAGTAGGGTATTTTTCTGTTCTTGTTATATAGTATATAATATGGCTATTCATTTTGTAAAATCTCCAAATGCCCTTTCATCCCTCTTGTTTACGCATTCTTTCTTTCCCTACTTCCATGTTTGCATTGGCTTACAAACTTGTTTCTGCCAAAGGAGTTAGTTGAAATGAGAACATTAATTTTTACGCATACATGCATGTCAGCTGCTCTGGGAGGGAAGGGGGAGGTGGGGGTGGAGGAGTCAGGTGGAACAGAATCTCTGAGCATGTGTATATATCGCCTCGGTCTGTGCTGTCAAGGAAAAGCTATAGGACAATCATAATGGATAGAGTCTTTTTAAAACAAAGATGTCAGTCTAGCTGGTTTGGCTCAGTGGATAGAGCATCAGCCTGCAGACCCTTCGATCCCAATCAAGGGCGCATGCCGAGTTGCATGCTCAGTTCCCAGTAGGAGTCATGCAAGAGGCAGACGATCAATGATTGTCTCTCATCACTGATGTTTCTATCTCTCTCTCCCTCTCCTTTCCTCTCTGAAATCAACAAAAAATATATTTTAAAAAAAGATGTCAGTGAGCAAAGGATTGCAATAATTTTTTTGAAAATTCTATTTATCTGTTTACAATCTTCTCAACGTTAGGTCATTTAGGCTGTTCACCTAACCTAAGATTTACTTGATCCTTGTTTAAAGGTTCCATTATCGAGGTGTTTTACAGGAGAATTTAATAAAGAATAGACAACAACAAATATAAGAAGATAGACAAATTTAAAATTGCAAGAGTACAGAATACCCTGTAGTACTTTTAAGTTGTTTACAGTTTTTGGTGAACAAAATAACCTGTCCCTTTTGGCCCTTCCAACAGTTTCCATAGGTCATGCTATTCCAGAAATGTTGCCTGTTGGTTGGCATTCCACTCTGTTGAAACTCCCGTTAAGTCTGACAGGTAAACACATTGGGTCCTGGATAGACTACATTCTTTGGAGACAGAAGTATTGGGTGTGAGCCTAGGCTTAAAAAGTTACTACCTATTTGCCAATGAGACATTTCCTAAATATATAAGGAACTTATACAACTCAACACAAGGAAGACAATCCAATTGAAAAATGGACAAAGGACCTGAATAGACACTTCTCCAAAAAGCACATACAGAAGGCCAATACACATATGAAAAAATGCTCAATGTCACTAGTCATCAGAGAAATGCAAATTAATATCACAATGAGATATCACTTCATACCTGCCAGAATAGCTACCATCAATAAATTAACAAGTACTGGTGAGGACATAGAGAAAAGGGAACTCTCGTACACAGTTGGAGAGAATGCAGACCGGTGCAGCCACTGTGGAAATCAGAGTGGAATTCCCTCAAAAAATGAAAAATGGAACTCCCATTGGATCCAGCAATCCCACTTCTGGGTAAATATCCTAAGAATCCCCAGCCACCAATTTGAAAGAATATATATACCCCTATGTTCATAGCAGCATTATTTGCAATAGCCAAGATCTGGAAACAGCCCAAGTGATCATCAGTAGATGAGTGGATTAAAAAACTGTGGTATATTTACACAATAGAATACTTCATTGCTGTAAAAAAGAAAGAACTCTTACCATTTGCAACAGCATGGACGGACCTGAAGAGCATTATGCTAAGCGAAAGAAGCCAGTCAGAGAGAGATAAATATCACATGATCTCACTCATTTGTGGAATATAATGAACAACATAAACTGATGAACAAAAATAGATACAGAGACAGAGAAGCATCAAACTGACCGACAAACCTCAGAGGAAAGGCAGGGGCGGGTGGATAGGGTGGGGTAAGAGATCAACCAAAGGACTTGTATGCATGCATATAAGCATAACCAATGGGCACAGACAGTAGGGGGGGGGGTGAGGGCTTTATTGAGGTATAAATTATACACAATGAAATACATTCATTTTTATTGCACAGTCCAATGAACTATGATAAATACCTATATGCCTGCTGTCACAGTGAAGATAGAGCACATTTCTATTACCCCCAAAACTTCCCTCCTGCCCTTTCTAGTCAACGTCATCCTCACCCCAGACTTCAAGCAACCACTGACCTCCTTTTGGTTACCAAAGACTTGTTTTGCCTTTTTAATAATTAGCTTTTATTACGGCTGTTTCCATGTTGTTACCAAATCAGCTTAATAGTATGTCATGTATATTGTACCATCATCATGAAAGCACAATTAGGCAGTCACTGGCATTTGCTATTCAGTTGTGAGCTACATAAAATTCTAGAAAGGTCTGCACACGGATGGGTCCGCCCAGCAGTTACAGAACGGCTGCAGGCAATGTGGTCTCTGTTCCTAACATGGAAATGGGTTGGAGCCAACCGTAGGCTCCTAACATTTTCCATACTCAGAGTTTTACATTAAGCCTCAGATTAGAGAGAACCACTTTTTGCTCTTTAGGTTCAAAATGTATTTTAAAATGTGACCCTGCTTTTAAAAATCACCATAGAGACTGTCCATATGGTATCAGGAGAAGGATATTCATGATCAAATAGGAAGTGCTGCTGCTTCCCTTCCCACGTCTCCTATTAAAATATTGCCCATTGGTTTTCAAGATTTTTCCTACTGCAGCAACTTAAAAATAATTTGTATATCAATTTTATTTTTATTTTTTGTTTACTGTTGTGTTGTGATTCTTTCTTCTGTTGTCACAAGTATGAATATCCGGTAATGGGCACCATTCATTTCTGTGCTCAGTAGTTTTCCTGGGGTGCCCGTGACAGGGAAAATGTATGCATTAAAACAAATATAATAAAAAGCAGCTCTCTTTACAATTTCAGCCCAGCTGCCACATTGATGGATACACTCTCTCGCACATGCTCCAGGTGGCGTCTAATACCTGACTCCCCGCCGAAGCCACTATTTGCACATCTTAAACCACTTATTGGATTTGTACAGGATTTTTCAGCCTGAGTGCCATCGCTGTGTTCACGTGGGTGATATTTGTAAATCCTGGCTTTACATGTCATTCACCGAACCATTGTCAGAAGGTATGTACCAGAATCTTTGTGCATCCCCGGTCCTCTTCGTTGGATTAGATGGGGTCTATTTTGTGTAACTAAAAAAGGGCATTGGTCATTCTATTTCCATCGTTGCCAGCATGAACAACAAAGAGAAATTTAATCAGGCTTGTCTAATGGGGCATTTCTTTGTCTTTCAAATTCATATAAAATTAACTAAGAATCTGTATTCAAAGTTAATGGTGTTAAACCTGTTTTCAAAATATGTATCTCAAAAGGTTCTATTCAACTCATTGGCTGTTGTTTAAAACTCTACTTAACTATGGTGTCAGTCGCTCTGAATTATTGAGCTTAAGACCATTGTTCAATGTGGACAGCACTTTAGTATGACACCCTGTTGTCATACTAACCTTACAATTCAAAGCTTTTATAGATATGGATGGGAGCAGGAGATGACTCAAGCAGATGCCTTTCTTGGGTTTGAGCTGTGTAACACAGCACAGCAATCTCCAGGCAAATCCTTTGTTCTGCCCATTGTTTGGAAGTAACACAGATTTCAGGCGTTCCTAATATCACCAATATTTCTGCTCACGTATCTAGAGCATGTAACCCTTTAATAGATTTGATAATACCAATGAACAGGAACAGCAAACAACTGTGATTTATAGACAATGCCTCACATGTGACTATGTTGCTGAATCACAAAGAAACATGATTTCTTAACTGTATGCCACTGGAATTAACTGCACATCAACATATTCATAGCTCTGAACCTCTGGGTTTATTTTAAGGATTCCTATTGCTGAATGGTTGGGCTTCTTTCTCCTGAAGTTGTTGGCCTAGTGAACACCATTGGTATTCAGAAGCACTAGAGGTCACGTGGGCTGAGGCTCAGCATCTCCGTATCCTCTGTGCAGAATAAAGACATAAGCATTCCCTTGTTTAGTGATGCTTGTGAGTTGGTATTCCAGAGCAGTTGGTTTGAATTGTGACCTGAATCCAATTATGTGTGTGTGCAGTGTTGATTATTATTACAGCTGGGTGCTCTGAAAGGTGCTGGGGAGACAGAGAAACAAGAATCATGGCCTAATGATTGCATTTAGCTGTGGAGTGGGCTTCCATCAGTGTTCTTCGCTCAACTCCCCAAGGCACAAAAACGAAGCATGCCCGGGTGGCAGTGGACTGGATATACGACACGAAGGAACCATTAGACATCTGCGGGTCAATAATTCTTGTGCTAAAGGGGGATTTGCATCCCGAGAAGAGCTACTCCTTTACCAGTAGCACCGTCTGCCAGGTTCAAAGTTCACTCTCTGCAAGATACTAAAACACAGGCTATTGTGTTCATTCTACATTTTCACAATTATCAAAATATCCATTAAGTACAAAAATCAAAGATACTTCTACATATGTGTTAGGACCTTTGGGGGTTTGGTGGGGAACCAACAAATAGAGTGTGAAAAAGTAAGCATGACACTTTTTACTTAAACAAAATCTTCCCTGTTCATAGCATGAGCTAAGGGCACATGGATGTGCTTACACCATATAACTTAGTCTTTCTAGTACAAATGTTCATAGATATGAGTCTCTGCAAAGGTCAAGATGCAGGGTGTGGCGGGCGGGGCTCCTGAGGGCGGGGCTGGCTGTATCCCCGAGAGCAGGGTTTTTCCCTTTTCCTGGGCTGTGGCTTCTGAAAGGGGCCAGCACCTCTTGGGAAAAATGGCTGTTTCGGTTTGGGGGCATGGGGAGTGGGATCGTCTCCACGTCTCCCCCCAATGCTTCCTACCCCAGTCTCTCCTCAGGCACCTCAGTCCACACCAACCCTCTCTCCGCTGAAGCCTCAGGTGGTAGCTGCTGCAAATGAAAACCCTGTGCGCTGGGTGGGTGGGGGGTGGGTGGGGGGAGGAGGTAATCTACCAAGGACCTTGCATGCACATATGCATGGCCCCTGGACACAGACAATGGGGCGGTGAGGGCCTGGGGCAGGGGAGGGCTGGAGGGGTCAATGGGAGAAAAAAGGGGACATATGTAATACTTTCAACAATAATTATTAAATAGCACTGACTGGTTTGGCTCTGTGGATAGAGTGCCAGCCTGTGGACTTAAGGGTCCCAGGTTTGATTCCGGTCAAGGGCATGTACCTTGGTTGCGGGCACATACCCAGTAGGGGGTGTGCAGGAGGCAGCTGATGGATGTTTCTCTCTCATCGATGTTTCTAACTCTCTATCCCTCTCCCTTCCTCTCTGTAAAAAAATCGATAAAATATATTTTTTAAAAAAGAAGTATTAAACAAACAGACAAACAGACAAACAAACAAACAACAGAACAACCCTGTGGCTTTATCTCCCACAGGTTCCAGATTCCCAGGCAGCCAGAAGCCCTGCTGCCTTTCATGGCTGGATGTTCCATGGGCCGGGTCTTGGCTCTGGTGCTGCGGGCGGTGGGGCCCACCTGGGCCCTGGGCCTCTGTCTTCTTAGTGGAGGGCTCCCTCCTCACTCTCGGCCTGTCCCCATGGAAGCTGGGTCAGCCCCTCACAACCTCGTCCTCGCTACCCGTCTCCAGGTATTTTCTGTTTTTCCTTGATATGCCTCCTCGCTGAACCTCAGTTGGTAATTACGGATGAATGTTCCCCAATTTTACTTGTATTTCCAGTCTGGCCATACAGTAGAGGCGTCAAGACATTATAACAGGGGTCCTCAAACTTTTTAAACAGGGGGCCAGTTCACTGTCCCTCAGACCGTTGGAGGGCTGGACTATAGTTTAAAAAAAAACTATGAACAAATTCCTATGCACACCGCACAGATCTTATTTTGAAGTAAAAAAACAAAATGGGAACAAATACAATATTTGTATTTGCATGTGGCCCGCGGGCCATAGTTTGAGGACCCCTGCATTATAACAATTCCCTACACTAGACTGGCTCGGTGGGACTTCTAGCATCTAACCCCTGAAACCAATCCAAGTTAAACATTTTTAAAGGGTTACATATTTAGAGACAACCTATTTAAGAAACCTTGGTTTGATTCTTGTAGTCTCATTGATATTTGCCTTTAAATATCACGATTGAATATTTAACTTGTATGAATCAAAGATCATGAAGTATTTGTAGACATGTCCTATCAGACTGCGTTAGAGGTAGACACAAGGAAAGCCCAGAGCTGAGAGATGAGAGCTAAAAGTTGGGGGCGTACCTTGATATCATATAAAATGTTTAAATTTAGTTCCTTGAAATGTAACCACTCCATAGTAAAAATCTATCACAATATGATGAACTGTTAAGGTTCATGTAAGCCTTCCACTACCTGTGATATAAAAAATTCAACCATGCCCACCATATACAAATCCAAGAATCTTAAATTCTTTGAAATCGTGGATTTTCTAACTCCTTGACTGCCTCTTCAAAGCTAGTTATGAATTAATTTTGTAGTAAACTAGTTACAGCATGTGAATTTCAGCTACCATGTTTCAGAAACAGGCATTACACATAGATCACAGCAACTCATCCTCCTGATTCAGCGACAGAAGAGATGAGCCCAGTTTGAGTAGTGAGCACTTGATCCTCCTTAAGTCACTCCCCATTATTGAATAAAAGAGAGTAATTCCAATTATTTCTTTGAGGGAAGCACCAGAAAAAGCTTAAGGATGCTTCCTTACTAAAAATAAAGTCATCCAACTTAAAGGAGGAAAAATACTGTACCCATGACCTCTAGTAACTATTCACTTCAACATTCTATTTCTCCAAAGGAGGGAAATGGGAAAGAACTACAATCTTACATGTTTCTGTTTTGCCTTCACTATCCCCCCATGATGTTCTTATTGTGTTAAGCTAGCAGTTAATGATACAGAGTTCCCAGCTAGGAAAATTCAAATTTAATCTGTAAGGAACAGGCTTTGAAATAAACATGTTATCTAAATAACTACTTGGTAAAAGAAAGAATTTCTCTAGGGAACAGTTTCTGCATCCTTCGGTTCAGAATTTAATTTCTTATAAAAAAAAACAAACCCAAGTTGCTTTTCTGTAGTAGACATTTGCCATTTGGTTTTTAAAAATCAGTTATCGTTTAAGCCACTGATTCATGAATCATTCAGAGAAGTCGACCTAAGTTACCAATGAATGACAGCAAGAGCTGGACTCTCAGAGGAAATGGCCTGTGGCTTATTTATCTTGGAGAGCATCCTTGTCATAATTCTTACTGTGCACATATATTTTGTGGGCCATTTTCTTTTCTGTTTTTCCTATTCTCAGGTAGAATAAAAAAAAAAAATACCAGCACCAATGAAAAAAGCAGAGAGAGAGAGAGAAAGAGAGAGAAAGAAAGAAAAAAGACACTGCTCATGGGTCCTGGTAAAGTTATTAAAGGATTAAAATCCTCTCCATGTGGAGGGGCAGACATGGTTTCCATCAGTTCAGGGGACATGCTCCATGAGCAGGAAGGGAAGAAAAACATTCACCATTGTGTTACCCCTCCTCGCCCCCACGGAGTGCCCTAAACCAACGAGCTCTTTACCAGTTAACCATGAAAATGACTGGCCTTCCCTGCTCGAATAAGATTCTGAAGAGCATCACCATGCCAGAACGGAGCTAACAAACACAGGCCCATGTCTCCAGGCCGGGCCCCAACCATGGGAGCTACTGGAGGAGGAGAGTCAGGATGCACAGAGCAAAGGATGCTTTCGCCTCTCACTCAGGTGCAAGGGGTTAGAGACAACCCCCAAGGTCTGAAACGGACCAAAGACAGCTATCCCTGGGTGATACAACAAATCTGCAAGTCTGGCCTCCAAGGTAGTTAAAACCATAGGACTTCAGGGGATCGGGATGAGACTGTGGAAAGTTCGCTTTTTGAATTGCTTTGCTTTTCACGGAACACAGACTGCTGCTCACGCTTGAGCAGATGATGCCAAGTAAAGGTAGAAATGACTTTTCTCACTAGAAAAATTAGGCTTGGGATGGACTGAGGGACTGTACAAAAACTCCAGTGGAGAAAAACACTCTGTCTTAATTGTCTGAGGTTCAAGACCCTATTTTGACATCAGGGTGGTTAGAAATCTTAGTCTGTATAATGGAGATACTTATAACACTGCCTTCGTAAGAACAGTGGAAGGCCATGTCCAATAACGTGGGCGAGCATTCTTTATGAAGAGTCACGTGGCATGTCGTGAAGCGCACCTTTCAGTCACAACACAGGAGTGCATTTTGCTCCTGCAAACCCTGACCTCAGTTCTGCCATTTAATGTGTAGGCAAATTAATCAGGTTACTCATAAACTCCTTGGGTTCATCCTTCTCAGACCTATCTTGTGTATGTCAAAATAGATACATACTACTTGTAAATTTCTTTAAGCTTTCAGGAAAGTTTCCCAAAAACGTCAACATCCAACAAACACCTACTCTGTGAAAAATGCATGGCATGTGCTGGTGTTGCAGATTTTAAAAATTCCTTTCAAATGGCCATCTTCAGTCAAAACATTTCAGGGTTTTTGTGTGTGTGTGTGTGTGTGTGTGATTTTTTGTTTTTGGGGGGTTTTTTTGTATCTCTCAAAGAAAACAATACATACTTAAAGTCTGTTGAGTTTATTTCATTTTTTACTATTTTTTAGAAGCAATTAAAGCACAATTTTTAAAAAGAAAACAGAAGACACATTTCTGTTACACTCATATATTTTGACCATAAATTTTTTAAAAAAAAATCTTTTTCAACATTACTACTGCCAAGTGTTTTGTATATGGAGGACCTCATTTATATGTGATTTACCTTCTTTCTTTACTTGATTACGTAGATAGAATCAATACAGAATTTACTTATTGTAAGTTGCTAGGTTCCAACAAGATTTAATATCTGTATGGATTCCTCTTCATCACTAGATGAATTTTCTCCTTTAAAATGTTTATCACATAAAACAAAGAAGCTGAAAAATATTAACATGGTGCAGTATTATTTTTTTAATTTTAAATAAACTGCTTTAATTTTTTATTTCAAGTTTTCTTAGTGCTATGAATTTTCCTGTTCAGTGGAAAGAATAGTTTTCACCTCAACTTAAGACCAACTTAAATCATTCCCCCACTCCTCACCAGAATTTATGATCTAAGGGAGAATGACAGACCTTTCATCTCAATTCTACTTGCCAAATTTGAATTCTTCAACAATCCTACCAAGAAAACATTGTGGCACCATTGCGTATCTGTTTCATTTCATTTTCGGAAAAAATTACATTTTTTTGGTCTACGTGGAAAACAGGGTAACATTATAATAATTAGAGCAAGTAATCAGAAAGTCAGCATCCCAGTGAATATAGGTTGTTCTGGAGTCTGATGCATGCGTATGAACCCTCATTTGCTAATCAATGAACATTTGCTAATCAATGAACCTTCCTGTGTTCTGCTTGCCTTGTCTGTAAAATGCAGATATCCTATCTTTCTCATAGGGATATTTAAGGTTTATGTTAAGACAATGCATGTAAACTTGCAGGAGATATGGTTTGTAAGCATTGGTAAATAGTAGCTATTATCATTATCAATATAGACTGATCTCAGATATTTCAATTCCATTATTGGTCCTCCTCTCTCTGCTAACTGATTGTATCATGCGTCTAAAATCGGGTTTTGAAACTTGACTTTATTAACCTATCAAGTATATAATCTGTTGCTACTTTTCTCCTCCGAAGAGATTAGAAAGTTCCAGCATTGCATCATGACCAAAGCAATATGTGTGTATATTACAGAGAAGTAAATGTCAAGGAGATGTGTGTGACAGACACCTCCATTAGCTGGCCTTTTACAGGCGCAGAAAGGAAGATCAGGAATGAAGGAAACAGCCTCGTTCCTGAACTGATTTAAACAAAGCTATGGACCTAGAGCCAAAGTCCTTGTAAATCTTCTTTATTTTTTAATGTTTGCTTTTACTGATTTGAGAGAGAGAGAGAGAGAGGGAGAGAGAGATAGAAACATTGATGAGAGAGAAACCTCAATTGGCTGCCTCCTGCACGCCCCACGCTAGGGATTGAGCCCACAACCCAGGCATGTGCCCTGATGAGGAATTGAACCGTGACCTCCTGGTTCATAGGTCCGATGCTCAACCACTGAGCCATGCCGGCTAAATACACATATTTTGAAAGAGCATGAAACTACAACCATAAACCCAAGTTTAGATAGAAGAAATGAAAGTGGCTTCCAGTATTTTTCTGTTACCTCCAGGAAATACATTTGGCAGCTGCTGTTACAAATGGAAAAAAAACCCCACATTGTTATGCAGAAGGCTTATGTCCTTGTGATTGATGGACACTTACTTCTGAAAATATGCCTACTTATAATCACAAATAAAATTTCTCATGAACAATCAATAGGCTATGAGACTTATGAATTTGCTTCCAAGAGTTAACCTCCTAATTCCACTTGACAGTAAGGATCAAACTACTGCTCCACTGTGATAGATAATCCTCTGCATGGGGTGGTGAGACTGGGAGAGCAACAAGGAGGCAGGGTACAGGGGACATCCATCTTGCTACGTAATTTATGAATTGAACCTGAATCCTTAATGTAACTGGTGGTGAGTCAATGTGCTAATGC